TATTTCATCATTTTCATAATAATTATTTTTTACTTTCTTAATACATTATATTATAATATATCAGGTTTTTTGTTCGATGAACAAAAAAAAAAGAATATTGGATTTGAGATTTCACATTCAATGTCAATCATTATTAACTCAAGTATCCATTTATTATCATTCTAATCCATAATTAATTGAGAGATAAAATAATATTAGTTTCTTTAATCTAATTACGTCTTTTGATTATAATAATAGCAATAGAAAAATTATTTATCTATAAGAAACAAGTACGTGAGAATATGAAAGCTCCATTGATTATCATGATTGACAAAGAAAATCTGCTTAATATCCTTGTTTTACTTTGACAAAAGACACAGATAAATTAGAGCTGTTTTCTTTCATAATGTGCACATAAATTATTCGAATTACTCGTTAATATTATATTTATTTAATGTAGACACAGTATTAAATTCAATGGCATCAATTGGTACTCAAGAATTACCATTTGAAGAACTTGAATATGGTATTTTAGTGGATCTTCTTCAAGAACTTCAAAATGGTCTTGTACGAAAACCAGATCATTTTAATAATATACATTTTTTACTTCTATTATTATATGATTCTTATGGTTATCCTCGTGATCGTTATCCATTATGGCGTTGGTATCATCGAATAAAAAAAAAACTTCTTACAGCTAAACATTTAATAATCGATAATGATAAATCTCGTCAATGTATTATTGATGTACTTGAAAATCTTATTGATACAAATCTAACAATAACAACATTAATTGAAGAAAGTGTTCAATTAGATCAACAATATCTTCATTCTCATATACATGGTTTATTTAAATCATATACAGTTTTACATACATATTTATATATGGAACAAATTGATACACCAATAATAAATCAAAATAAAAATATATTTAATTTATTTCAATCATCTATTATAAGACTGTATCAAAATGAAAATTGTGATTTAATACATTTTGCAATAGCACATAAAAAAACAAATTTACTTAATAAAATTTTTGAAGAAAAAATTAATTGGTTAGATATATCAATGAATTTATTTACTGAACGTGGCTGGTTACCATTACATTATGCTTCATTTGTTGGAGATAAAGAAACGGTATATATTTTTAGATATGAAATTATTCTATTTATTTATTGATTTATTTATTCTAGGTGAAGATAATATGTGATACATTAACATCGTCATCATCTCATTTTGATACATTATCATTAACAATTTCACCTTTTCAACAACGAGAATTTGAACATAATCCAAATGAATATATTCTTAGAGCATGTGGTATTGAACGTGATACACCACATCGAACAAGACAACGTAGACATACATTATCAGAATTAGGGCCATCACTTTCACTTGATAGTCATGCAAAACTATCAAGACAACAAAGTATTCAAAAATTTCGATCAAATTTCGATGGACAAGCAGCAAGAGATCAACCACCATTAGGAGCAAATAATTTTACTAATGATAATCCTAGTAATAATAATTCTTTAAATATTGCAAATGATAATGACATTCCAGATGCTGATGAACTTGAATTAAGTTCACTTCCTTTAATGCAACGTGAAGAATTTATTGATAAACTTATACATGGATGTGATGCAAAACATATGCTTATTCCATCACCACTTACTCTTGCATGTATTGCAACATGTGGTGACAAAGCAGATTATGAAGAAATAGTTAAATTATTACTTGAATCTCATCTTGTTGAATTTGATGGTCTCAATCATGAATGTATACTCAATCGTGTACTTGAATATATGAATAGAAAAGATTATGCATCGTTTCAACATGTACAAGTATATCGTGATACTGAAACTGAAGGACCATCAGCATTTATATTTTATCAATTTGATGGTTTTATTGTTAATCAAGATGTAAAACCAGTTTCTGGCGCTTTATCAGGTTCATCTATAACATTAAATACATCAAAAAATGATGAATCAGTTGCATCTGATGATGGTAATCAAACTGAAACACCAATAAGTATACGTTGTTTTTTAACTGTTCTTGTTCTTCGTGATGTATTTCTTCAATATCCACGTTGGGATTTTCATTTATTACGTGAAAATATTGAAGAACATTTTGTTGAATTAGAAAATGCCCTTGGTTGTCGACCAACAATATTATATCCTGATGGTGATGTTATATCATCACGTAAACGTAGTGATGTAACATGGGAAGTTAAAGTAAAATATCGTTTAAGTTCTGAAACAGGTCAATCATTATATATGGAAGTTGATTATTATTTTTTTGAATCATTTGGTGATCCATTTGCTGATGCATTTGCAAATATTTATCAAACACCATTTTATTTATCATGTATGACTGATTCAACAGTTATGATGCAAACAATATTTGATTCATTTTTTAAACGACGAAATCTTTGTTGGTGGGGAACAATTGCACAAAGACATTTAGAACATTGTTTCGGTAAGAAAATTTTTGTTTATTTTAATTTAATATAATTTTTTTTAAAATTTCTAGATGGTGTTTTACAAATAAAAAATAATTGTACAACATTTTTATCATTATGTACAACATTAAGTCGTTATTATCAGGTTGATGGTGATCCATTTATTGAAGAAAATTCAGCTTCAATACAACGTATATTTGTTCATGCATTTGCTTGTTGTGTACGTCGTAATGCTAAAATCGAACTTGATTATTTAATTAAAAATCATTCTTTAATTTATTATGATTCATGTCGAACAAAACCAAGTGATATTCGACATAATATATTAACATATTGTGTTGTAAGAAATTTAGCTAATATATTCGATCAATTAATGACAAATATGAAAATAACAATGTATAAAACGTATCAAAATTCAACAAATCCAGATTGGCAACCACATATTGCTTGGAGAGAAATTATACATGTTATTATTGATCCACTTTCACAACAACAAAATGGTACAAATGAACAAAATGATTTTACACAATTAGCTTGTTATGGTGATACAAGTACAAATTTTGCATCGATTGGTAGTATACCAATACTTCATGCTACTGGTGATGAATATACTCGGTGTATAAATGCACGAAAAAATGTTATATTAAAAGCAAAAAAAAGATTACCACGAGCATTAAGTGACGCTAATAGAAATCGACCCTTAGCACGTCGAATGATTAGTCTTGATCAACAACAAATTGAAGATGCACTAAGTCATTTAACAGATGCTACCAATATAGGAAATAATAATGTTGGAATAAATAGTAATCCTAATTCAATTGTTGGTGGAACAACTCATGCAAATGTAACAAAAAGATCAAGAAATATTTTTAGAAATGTTAATCGATTACGTTGGGGCAAGAGTGACCGACATAGTCCATCTGGTACAAACAGTCAACATCGAGAGGACATTTCTAAACGTTCGAATTCACCAACAGTAACAACTGGACTTGATGAACTAGTGATGCCAAAAGATACAATCAGTTTGGTGAGTAACATCACATTGTAATCACATTTATTACATTGATAGACAGATATTCTTATTCATTCAATATGCTATTCCTAAATTTGTTGACTCACTTTCGTTTTCTATTTTACTTTCATCTCATATAATGTTATTCGTTTTTTGTTTGTTTTTTATTTGGATTGTTTTTATTTCAATTACCAGTATTAATCGATTCATCAAAACACATATTTACTGTTATCCTTAATATAATAAAAGTTGAAGGAAAGAAAAGAGATGGAAATCGAGAAAAAGACAACGAGAGTATTATATGTATATATATCTATATATAATTGTTTTTATTACTTAGAATGACATACATAATCATTTATTCTGATTTTCATAAACATTTGTTACCTCATATCTTATGATGACATTCGAAGTTTAGAAAGAAAAACAGACAACATATGATTAGAATCAAATGACAACCAGTACGTTAATTTAGTTATACTAATACAGCAAAAAATGTAAAATAATAGAGATATGAATATATTTTGTAGTTATTAGATTTGTAATTAAGAAATAGAACTACTTAAAACGATGATTGATCATTGAAAATAATAGAATAAATAATAAAATTATAAGAAAAAAGCAAATCTCTTCAATAATATAATCATTTTATTGTGTTAATTATTGTTGAATAGAATTCCACCATGTTTCAAAAAATAATCGTCTCGATTTATCAGCTTGTATTTCACATGCTTGTGCTTGATGTAGAATTTCATCTATATTAAGATTTTTATATACTTCTGGTCTATTATTACGCGTTCTTTGTACCCATTCATTAAATTCAGTAAATGATGCTTCAGGATGAAATTGTACACAAAATGCCGAACCAGATCGATAAGCAGCAATATAATTATTTGTTGTATAAGCTAAAATAGATGCATTTGATGGTAGATCGAATGAATCTTTATGATGCATAATGAATAATGGTTTATTTTGTTGTTCTTCGAATAGTTTTGACATAATTGGATCATGTTTTCCTTCCGTTGTAAGTTCATATTGAACATAGCCAGCTTCCTGACCATACTCCCCTATATGACCATGTCCACCAATAACATCAGCTATTAATTGTGCTCCGAGACATAAACCAAGTATAGGTGTATTAAGAGTAAGTTGAGCAGCAAGAAATGATTTTTCCCATTTTAAATATGGATATATATCATCTTCATATGTACCTTGTGGTCCACCAAGACTAACAATAACTGAATAATTATTTGTATTATTATCTGGTAATTTTGATTGAATATTAGAATCAAAAATAGGAAGAATTTCGAATGGAATATTATGTTCAGTGAAAAATTCTGTTACATAAGCAGGACGAACAACTAATGAATGTTGAATAATTAGAACTTTTTTCGACATTATCTTAAATAATAACAAATTTCTTTTTATTTTTTATTTTATTTTATAAATATTAAATTGATATTTAAATCAAAGAAATGAACATAGGAATTATTAGAAAAATATCGATAATTCATTCTAGAATGAATTTGAACTTATAAGAATATCTAAATGAAAATGTAAGTTTTTTTTTATTTTAATTAAAATATCGATATTTGGTTACTGTCAATAACTGCGGGAATAGCAGGACACCTAATTACTATTATCCGCATGTTGCATGCTGTAGTTCACCTTTATATATAATTCATAAAATAATACTAATGCTATGTTATGCTAACTAATAAAACACAATTCTAAATATTTTATATACATTATAATTTCTCTTGTATACAGCCCGATGTCAATGATGACAATTGGAATAATAATGAAAATGAAGATGAAAGTTCAATAGTATTAGATACTATTCGTCCAACATCATCTATTTCAAATCGATCATTAACAAACAATAAAAATCTTCAGTATCGTCAAAGAAATGATACTATTCAACCTCGACAATATCGAACACGTTTACAACAATTACAAGCTATGTTTTGGCCTACACGAGAAATCCATAATACTATTAGTAATAAACAATTGAATGAATATGAACAAATCCCAATGGTTACTAAAAAAACAAACAATTAATCTACAATGATTATTAAATCCTCATGAAAATAATCAAATTATTATCAATGATAATTTGAATGAGTGACAAAAGAAGACAGTGTGTGTGTGTGTATCCATTGACATTTGGATATGATGGCTATTGTATAAATGTATTCTTTTTCTCGCGTTATTATTTTTTTATGCGTGTATTGTATTTTACGAGGTGCTTTTTTTTCCAAATGATGTTAGATGTTTTTTTTTCTTCAAAAATATAGTGCAATGAATAAGTTGTATACATAAAAACGAAGAAAACTGAAAGAATTAAAAAAGAATGATTTATCAAAATGATAATCAGTACGCTAGCGTTATGACATCATATCGTCAACCGAGACATACGATGTACACATTAAATATTATCTGTTATAGATTTATCGAACCTTATTATCGTGTAAAGAGAAAATGAATCTATTTTGAATACGTAATTTTCTCGTCATTTAGCTTTAAAAAAAAAACATGCAGGTATTTAAATGTGTATGTTAACTTTGATAAATAGAACGACATAAATTCCCAGATGAAATCGAGGATCGAACGGTAAATTACGAGATTTTCTGTTTAGCATCATATAAAAATGTGACAATAAGAAAAATGTGCGTAGGATATTTTATGTTTGACGAAAACCATAACAGTTATTTTATTCTTACCCATCCAAATGCAAAGATAGTTTTTTTAAATAGGCAAACTTGTGCATAATTGAAAATAACATAGAAAAAAAACAACAACATGTAGAAGAAAACGAGTACAGAATTATTCTTATCAATGTAACAAAAGAACGCTTATGTTGAAATAAAACAACGAAAAGAGCACGGACACGTGTGTATGATGCTTTAATTGTTTATCTTTAAGACAGAATCTATCGAACAGTTAGTTGGACAGGGTCGAACAAAAGGTCAAAGAGTGAGAGTAAGACAAAGAAAAAAACGTCACTTTCTTCTTTTTCTTCTTCTTTTTCTTTCTTTATAATATATTAAATGCCATTCGTTTATTTTTCTTTTCGCGATTACTTTTTCTCATTGAAGTAACAAACACACAGAGCACACAAAAAAAGAAGAAGAAAGAAGAAAGAAGAAACCAGTTATTCAATACGCTATATGTTAATATGCTCATTCATACAGTTTCTTTTCACGGATTATGTCTTATGCATGGCTACTAATTTTCTACAAGATTATTGATTGATATTATCTTAGAACGTATAAATAAACAATTTTATTAAAGAATTGTATGTTATGAGCAATCATAAGGGATGTACGGTAGCACGCGGCGTAAGTAATTAATATTAATATTATATTGTTCTTTATAACAGATAAAGCATAAGTTCAATTAGTTATTTAGACAGATATTCTTCACAAGAAAAAATTGTACAGATGTTCTTATTTTGTTTTTCTTATATCCTTGGTTTTATATCTTAGCACATATTTTTAAAGAGATAACTACATGATGAAAGATAATATGAAAACAAGAAAGAAACAATCTTTTTAATTTATGTTAATCGAATTATATTAACATGGAAAAAAAAGCAATCTAGCAGTAGCCATATAACAATGCAAATATTTGTTTTGATTGGAAGTTTGTATTGGAATAAAAATTATCTAATAAGTAACTTAAGATATCATCAATAGTCTCATTTAATCAAATATATTGATTCTCAAATGAATAAATCTTCTCTGTTTAATAGATTTTAATGCCGACTCAAATTTTTATCATTCCACCGAAACAACCTCGAACACAAAAACCATTAAAAGCATCGAAAAGTAATAAATCTACTCAAGATGAAAATGTTTCTCAATCGGTACCTGATACTCCAATTAATGAACAAACAAAATCTTCAAGTGACAATAAATTAGCAGTTATGAAAACAATTCCATCTGTACGTATAAGTCCACCTCAACCAATACTTGATAGTTTATTTGATTGGGATGATGAAGATCGACGTTTTGGTCAAGTACCGAAATTTGTTCGACATCGACAAAAACAATTACATGAAAAATTTTCTCGAATTCAGGAAAGTATAGGACAACAACATGCTACTCAACCAGCTATTGTTTCAGCACCAATTGTTGAAGTACCTGGTGCACAATCAACATCAAATGCAAATGATCATACACCACAAAAACGAGAAGGAAGTCTAGAGACAGGTGAAATACAAGGACATACATTACTTCATTTAGCTGCTAAACTTGGACATGAAGAAATAATGAGAATGTTAATTACTGAGACGTCACATGCAAATAGTTTATTAAATACTCGTGGACAAACACCATTACTTTGTGCTATTGAAGCTGGATCAACATCAACAGCAACATTACTAATGGAACAAGATCCATTATCATTAACATGTAAGGATCATATTGATTCTAGTGCATTTCATTATGCAACTGAACATTGTAATGATATTGTTTTAAGTCGTGCTATTGCATTACTTAAACGACTCAGTTCAAGTGCTGCTAGAGTTACTGTAAGTCGAAAAAAAAAAAAGGTTCAATCTTTTTCTTTTTGCTCCTTGATTATAGTATAAATTTTGTTAATCTTTCTTAAGGCTCTTCAACGACTTATTGAAAAAAATGCCAATGGTAAAACACCATTTGTTATTGCAATTGAAAAAGGTTCATTGAAATGTATTAAATATATATTAAGTAGTAAATGGTTATATCGAAATGCTGAAATAGCAGATTTTATAAATGCTGATTCATTAAAAACAACAATTGATAAAGATCAATTAGATATAGCTACATTTTTTGTTTCTGATACACGACGTTTTGCTGTTATTATTCAAATAAAAATTAATGCCAATGGACGCACATATAATGTATTAGAATATTCAATAGCATTAAAAAAACCTGATTTTGTTCGAACATTTATTAGTGTAAGAATTCCAAGTGATGAACGAGAACTTTATCGTTCATATAAAAATTTTTTAAAACATTATAATGTTGGTTATTCCGGTGCAAGTTATGATCAAACACCAATACAACGAATGTTAACTATGGTAGGTTTTTGAAAATTAGAAAGAAAATTTAAAATTTCTAACAAAATCATTATTAAAAGTTTGAATGATTATGACAAAACAGAAAAATCATAATCTAGAAAAAAAAAACAGAATGAATTCTGAGAAAAAAATTAATTTATTCTTTGCACGAATTGACGAATTCAAACTGTTGTTTTGTTTTGGAAGACAGATGAAAAGGTTCGAATGTCCAGTTTATATATCATAAATGGAGAAAAATAATTGATTCATTTTCATCCTTGTCTTCCGTTAAATAGCATAGGTATAAAAATAATTTACTAAAACTATATAGTTTTAATTCAATCCTATATATTTCAAATAATAACTACATTCAAATTCTCATAGCGAATGTTTCTCGAACTCATCGAAAAGATTTCTGTGTGTTTAATTTATGAGAATATCATTCAAAATTTTTTCTTTTTGGTTTTATTAGACGGAAATGCTTCCATTAGTTCCACTATTACTCGAACAATTTGTTGGTGAAGATGGTATTGATTTATCAGTTGTTGACGATTGTTTACGAGCACGTCCAGCACCACATCGTTGTATGTTTGGTCGTTCAAAACGATTTTCAACATCAAATTGGCTTAAACAACATCCATTATCATTAATTGCTGAAGCAAATCATGCACCAGTTTATGATCATGATGTTGTTAAAATTTGTGTTGATTTAAAATTTCAATTATTTGGAAATTTTTTATATTTACTTATTTTATGCGCACAAGTTTCATTTGTATGTTTATATACTGGTGTTGCACTTGGTTCACCCACACCACCTCGATCTTATTATGATGTCTCAAATTTGACATGTAAACAAATATGTCATACATTAACATCAGATGTTAATGATCCTCTACCAGGCAATGCTTTACTACGTAAGTTTTTATATGATTTATTTATGTTTATTAATTAATTAATTATTTCTTAGAACTTTTACGTATTTTATTATTAATTTGTTCTGGTATTGCAATATTAAAAGAATTTTTTCAATTAATAACTCAACGTGAAAAATATTTTCGTGGTTTTTTTGTGAATTTTCTTGAATTACACACATATGTATGCGCAATTTTATTTGCTATAGATGTTAATCATTGTACACAACGTACTGGTCTTCGTTGTAAATGGCAATGGGAAGCAGGTGCATTAGGTATGGCTAGTGTATGGACATTATTATTACTTGTATTTATGAATGCATTAAAAATTGGCAAATATGGTCTTTTATTTGTTAGTGTATTTTTAACATTTTTAAAATTTTGTCTTATTTATGTATTTATATGGATTGGATATATAATTGCATTTCATATGTTATTTGTACATAAAAAACCACAATTTACATCTATTTTTTATACAATACCAAAAACATTAGCTATGCTTACAGGAGAATATGATTTTGATGATTTATTCTTTCCAAATGGAAAATTTTTACAAGGAAGTGAAGCAGCAATGGTACTTTATTCAATATTTGTATTTACAATGAATATTGTTATTATGAATATTATGGTATAAATGAATATGAATGAATTTTAAAAATTACAAAAAAACTACCTTTTTTTTTTAATTTAGGTTGGTCTTGCAGTTTCAGATGTAAAACGTTTTCGTTTAAATGCTAAACGTGAACATTTACGTGCACGTATCGAAACATGTCTTGGTTTGCAAGCTAAATTTGGTCTTTTATGTGAAACTTGTTCTCGATTAGTACTTGCACTATCTAAACATCAATTGTTTCCACATTTTCAAAACCATGTTACACAAATGCATGGAATTAAAAGATATTACTTATGGAAATTAGAATTACGTACACCACGAATTTGTATACCACAATCAACAAGTGTTTTAACATCTATATATAATACTAATCAAATTAATAGTAATACACAACCAACTCGAAGTCTGAGACATCATTCACCAAGAGAATATGTTACATGTGAAGTTGGATATTATCGACATCATATTGATCGTGCTGGTGAACCTTTATTAC